ATCCCCTATACCGTTAGAGTGCACATTACCGAGATGGAATACTTCTCATTAGCTGCCTCTGAGTGCAAATGCAAGATTTACTTACTCTTTGGCATGCTCCTTAGCTACTGCAATCTGCTTCGTCAGAAGGTGCTACCCACAATTCTTTCAGTAGGGTCCTAAGAAAATAAAATTTTTGGAGGAAATGTGTTATATCCCTTTCTTGTCACATATAGTTCAAATAACCCCAGCCCACGACACAGTGATGCCTTCTAAGAGTAACAGGAGGCTGAGGTGAGGAAAAAGCCACAGAAGCACCCTACGCACGCATTTCCTTAACTTAGAACCAAATGTGTGCTGAAGATTAAAAATTTAATATGTAGTAAAGATGAATGCCAAAACAGAGCTTGTTGGATATTCTGAATGAATCAGTGTTGTATGAATTAGTGGATGTTTCTCCCCAAACGGTACCTCTTTCTTTGGAAAGAACGAGACTGTCTTAATTACTGCTACTGAAGATTGACCAGAAAAATAGTTTTAATCCAAAACAGTATTTTTTCTGGAAATTTTCATAACTTGTTGAGTCCAGAGTTTCTTTGCCTTTTAGCCTCAGTCTCTCAAACTAGCTTACAAACTGATTTGTAAGTCATGGGAATGAAACAAGGTTGACAGTCCTCTGTTGAATCACCTGGGAATTTCATCTGTCCCCAATCTGATTCCAAATGTTCTGGGTTTCAACTTTCATAATTCCTGGCTAGCTGGACATTATGGGAATTGAAATCCAGAACAGTTGAAAAATAGCAGGGTCTATTTATCTAATTTGTAAATTTTCTGAGAGGCTATTTGGCTTGTAAGCTATCAAGTTCCTTCATTTACAAATATTTATAACTTTCAGTGGCTTAAGCATCCTTTGACTGAAAGTCTATGTTCTGCTTTAAAAACTGTTTGTAAGAAGGTACCTGAAATAGACAAGCAAATTATCTGTGCCTTTTTTCCATCTGTTTTGCAGTGTCTGCAGTTTGTACTAGGATGTTTCATATGTTCAGTTCTTTCCATTTTAAAAGCATTTCATAAAGGAACAGAATTGAAAACCTGCATATGGATTGTCTTACATAATGCCTACATAAATGGATACAGTGGATATAAATGCCAATGTATCTCAAAGCTGAAAGCTGATCCAGTGGCAGATTTTAGGATATTTTTTACACAAAAATAGTTTCATGGCTGAGCAATCCAGTGGCTATACATTTAACTATCTTAGTATATCAGAAATGCCACAAATATATGTGTATGTGTATCCATTATACCATACATAGCTAAATGTTCACATACTAGGGATTTGAATTGAATTGTCTTGAATGGGTAACACCCCATTTTGAGTGCAGAACAGCTAGGCAAGGGTGTTTGAGGATGTGGTGGTGGTTTTGAGCATTTTGGATTTTATTTTTTATTTTATTTTTTTATGGGGTTTTTTTTTTGGTTTAGGTTTTGGTTTTGGTTTTTGCTCAGAAAACGTGTTTCGCACTTGAAACAGATCTGATTCAAACTTGGAACGTTTTTGAAATGCTTAAGCCGGCCTGTTTTGCACTCAGAACAGATCTTTTCTTCTCAAAGCAGGATGTTTTAAATTTGAAACAGTTCAGATTCAAAACACTTTCACAGCTCTACCACCCAGCTCCTCACAGGCACCTTGGCTCTCTCTCTTCCTCCCTCCCTTATACTGCTGTCTTAGATTACGCAGAGGAAAGGGAAAGCAATGGGGTTTTCTTCCAGCAGTTACAGTTGGTTGATTTCTTATTACCATTAAATTAACAGTTGGCTGGCAGAAATTAGATTGCTCGGTGTCGTGCCATTAATGGCAGAGAAAATCAGCAGTCCTTTTCCATACAGCTGAGTGACCATGTTGATCATCGGGCCATCATTTGCTTTTGGAAGTGAAGACCATATGAATCCTCTGTAGTACAGTTGCCCACCCCTGCCTTCTGCAAAGCACACCAATTCTCACATTGGCCCAATATGTCATCCCTTCCTTGTCATGTTCCCTGTGGAACATTTTAGACGATAAACTGTTTAGAATTAGTACTTTTTGTACTCTCCCCATAGAATAAATGGAAAGTGGATGAAAGGAAAGGACATGTGGTAGTTGCTTGGAATGGAGTGAAAAGAATGTTTTGGAGTGCCTCATGAGTGTGTGAGGTTGCACTGATGGGAAGTATGAAAAGGATGTTTGGTGGAATAATAATAATTTATTAACTTTATATGCCACCCAGCTCCCAGCAACTCTGGGCAGTTTACAGATGATTAAAACCATTTTAAAAAAAGGAAACAACAAAAAACAAGAAGAATAAAGATGGCAGAAATGATGAATTTGATGGGAACGAAGAGAAAGGAAAAGGAGGGCTCCAGACATTCTTGCCAAAGGCCTTGGCAAAGAGCCAGGACTTCAGGGCCTGAAGGAATGAAGTGAAAGAGGCTGTGGATGAAGGAAAAAATGCATATAAGAGAGTAATTACTAAAAAAAATAAAGATGTGACAATTATATTGTATAATGTGTATAGAAAGAAAAAGCTGCAAAGAATGTAGACAGAGCAGGAATGTTTAAGATTAAAAAAGGCGGAGAAATGTTTGATGGAAGTGAGTGAAGAATAATAAACAAGGAGCCTTGAGCAGAATAAATGTAAAAAATTAAAATGTTGAAATAAAATTTGGGATGTAACTGAAGGAAGGGAGTTGTAGAAAGATATGTTAGAGATTTCTGTGAAAATAGGAATGATATGAAAGTGGATTTGAAATGAATGCCAGAAAAATGAATTAAAAGGAAGTCATAAATGCTGTGAGTATGCTGAAAAATGATAAGGGTGCAGGTGTAGACAGTATAGCCAAAGAAATGTTAAAATATGGATGTGGTTTGTTTATGGAGTAACTGTGCAACTTGTTTGTGTAAAGGCTGCATGTGTGCTTGACAATTGGAAGAATGCTGTTATTGTTCCCTTCTGCAAAGGAAGAAGTAGCAAGAGTAAAAGTAAAAATTAGATGGGAATTAATTTCTAAAATGTGCCTGAAAAGGCATTCAGCAAAATTCTAATTGAAAAGGTATGAGAGGTGATAATAAGAAAACTTGGGAAATGCAGTGTGGCTTTCTGCCAGGCAGAGGGTGTACATATTGATAGACTTTTTTTAAAAGGGGGTATTCTTGTTTCTCTCATACATATAGAATTTAAAAAAAAAAAAAGCCACATTCAGTTAAATTCACAATCACTTAAAAGCAAAATATTTTATAGAGTACAATGTACAGAGTATAATGTAGAAACCAAACTTAAAACACTATTCTGCTAGTCTGGGAACTGTAGTAAAATAGGTCTCTTTCAACTCTGGCAATTGTTTCACATCGCTTGCCCTTTCCTTTGCATCTCCCTCTAGATATAAGCCATTAAGAATTACGTTCAAAGAAAAAAATCTGTTAAGCTGTATATGCTATTTCATGAATGTGATACGTGTGTGTGTGTGAAAGAGAGAGGTCTGTATGTATATGGGTGTGTCATAAGCATAATCATATCTCTTTTCTTTCTCTTAAACAAGAAAACATGTGTGTAAAGTCAGATGTGAAATATGCCCAAGAACCTTGTTTCCATCTGGTGAAATTTGGCTTGAGTAACGATGTTTCTTGGATCCAGCTGGCTTACTAACGTCAATACAAAATAGATTTCCCATTGGTAATAAAGCAGACTCCAAAAAAGTATCCCTTTTCCCTAATTAGAATATCTGTGAGGAATCTGTAATTTAAAAAAAAAAGTATCAGGTGAGAATATCATGGCAAAAAGAAGGAATTTCTTTAGGTTACATTCAGTATTGTGTTGACTGAATGGGAGTTCTAGAAAGCTTGTTTCTCCATCTCTCCTTCCTTTAGTAGTTTCTAGGAATACTCAGGGAACTTTCATGATCTGCTTTGTCATTAGGGCTAAGGGAGGGATCCCTAATAATTGAATGGGAGTCCTTTACTCGGTAAGCTGCTCTTAAGCTGTTAACTCTCATTTAGATGCAGCAAGCAGGAAGTTTTGCCATCCAGAATCTTACTATGGCAGAGCCCAAAGCTTTCTTCCTGTGGGATACAGGCCATTCCCCAGTGAGAACAATTCTCATTATGGCCCACAGAAAGAAATGCAACATGCACATTGAAGCTCTCTTCTGCTTGCCTTGGGTTAATTTAGAAGTAATCCACACTCAGAGGTAAATGTGCTATCATCATTTGCGTGATTTAATTAGTATTAACCCTCAATCTAAACATACAATCTGGGATTATGCTTGGATGAAGAAAGGAAGGTTCCTCTTCCAAAGTTCCCACTGAATTTCCTGAAGAGGCAGATGCTTGGCCTGCAGGATAAGCCCATTCTTTAGGCTACACAAGAGGACTTAATCAAGCCCAATATCCAATTATTTATGAAAGAATCAAGCAGAGAATAGTCAGAAATAATCTGCTATTTTTTAAATACACTAGTACATTTCATTAAGTAAACGTATCAAGAAACTGAACCAGTGAAAATATTTTATCAGCTTGGTGTATAGAAGGCCTTTATGGGGCTTCACAGACTCATCAGGCCTTTATTTCCATAGCTGCTTAAAGACTAAAGCAAATTCTGCTGGTAGGGAAGGGGAGAATGAGTGTATGAAGAAGGAAATTCAAGCTGTGTTTCACAGAGTGAGAGTGAGGAACAACACCCCTTCCTGAAACACAGTACTTTTTCATGCATATCTGGAAAGCCTCTCATTGCCATTTCAAAGTTTATATGGGCATCTACCCTGGTTCCTTTGAAAAGTCTCTCTTTGTCTCACACAAACACACACACACACACACACACCATCCCATTATAAGGGAAGATTTGAATTTTTTATTGTTCCTTTCAACAGCTTAAATATCCTGATGAGTTTCAGTCTGAATCTGCTGCAATCAAATGATTTTGACCCTGATTTTGTTATTTTTCTCTTTTTATTCACATTTTTGTGTTTCCTCTCTTTTTCTCTAGTGCGGGCGTTGGCATTGGGTTTTATGGCAACAGTGAAACCAACGATGGGATTTATCAGCTGATCTACGCCCTTGATAATGCTAATCACACCCTTTCAGGGGTTGATTCACTGGTAAGGCATCTCATAAGTCAAGTTGGTAGGCATCTCTTCTAAGGGAAGCAGCCTTAGGTGGATTTTTTTGAATGCTGCAAGTTGGAGCAGCTGTCTGAGAATAAGATTCCATTGGAGTGCTCATTCATTGGAATAGCTAATACATACAGGTCTATCACGATTGAAGCCTCTTCTCTACTTCATGTGCTTAGCTCTTCTGCTAAGTACTGCTAAGAAATCTTACATTGATGGCTCTAGAATCAACCCCAAAAGGCCTTCTAGGAAAGGTTGATCTTAACTTAATTCTGGAGGTTATAAGAATAGTGGCCATCTCACCTCAGAGAATAAGCTGTTCCATAGGGAATGAACTTCACAGAATGTTCACCTTCAGGGTCTCTCCTGCTGCACCTCCTGATAGGTGGGACCTTGAGGAGGTGTTCTCTGACCATTGTGGTCAGGCTGGCAAACATGATCAAGGAAAGGTACTGTTACATAGCAAAGTTGATAACAATTTGGGCAGTTACAAAAATAATGGACAGATGGAGACAAAATAACTTGACCCAAAGAGAGGGCCATTGAAAAGGGCAGGAAGGAAAATGCTATCTAAGTGGATTTGAATACTCTTTTCATATATAAGGCTTGTTCTTGAATCACTATAGCTGCTGAAATTCTTTGGTATGGTTTTCACAGATTTCTTCCAAGTTTGCCTATGTGGTTCATTCCTCTCTGTGAGATGAAGCCTGACAGTTAGTATTCGAAAAACAACTGGTTCATATAAACCAGTTCCAGAGTCTATCATTATATTTTCCCTGAAGCTACTATCTTCTGTACTTCAGAATGGCATACTCTGAAAGAGATAGTTGGATCATATTCTGTCTCTGCTGGATATAAGCCGGGTTGATAGTTTCCCTTTTTCTGGAGGACACACTGGCTGCAAAAATGGAAAGTCTGAGTCTGTGATTGGAAACTTTCACTTTGGTTAGTGAGTAAAATGGAGTTTTGTACTATTAAGAAATGTCTTGACTCTGGTTAACATCAGAGCAATTATTTGTTTTTTCTATTGCTGTTGAAGACAGTTGAAATCACAGCATAAGGATTTGGGCTGAGATAACCATGAGACCAGATTGCCTGGGAAGGACTGCTTGAAACAGCAGAAGGAATATTGTGGAACAAAGAAACTTTGAGAGTGCCAAAAGGATGTGAGTGAAATGTGGCCATGGAGTGATGGTAACTTAAGCATCCCTCCAATTGCCTCATCCTGCTTTTGCTGTATAGCATTGGGATCTTCTGTATTTTTGCATATCTTGCCAATGAATGTTATCAGAGCTTCATGGGGATCCCAATGACATATAAAAGGAGACTTAATGGAGAAGATCAGCATAGGGTGCTTGCTTCATTTATTTCATGAATTATCCAACATGTGATGTGCTAGTGTGAAAAAGTAGTTAACCATCCATCTCAGTAATTCAGTTAAAGGATAACTAAGGCCAATTGTGTATCTCATTAAATGATCAGAGCTGGTTTGGGTCAGCTCTATCCTATATATAACTTTGGGTCCCTCATCACAGTGGTCACCATCCAGATGCTAGAAGCATGTCATGTGCCACTCAAAAGAAATATGTTAAGATTTCTATTAAAAAAACATTATTGCCTGTTAATCTGGAAAAGATTTCAAAATCATTTCTCAAGTGTTGAGGCTCCAGATTCACAATCAGAAACATAATTTTGCAGTGGAGAAGATTTGATGTAATAGTGAACTTTCCCAAAGGTGGCTGTCAAAATCAGCCAAAGAACATAGGATAAAATTGTCCAGGAAGTCACAGCGAACCCTCAAACAAGTACAGGAATATGCAAGCATTTTTCCACTTGGTTAAAGTCAGTGTTCTACCATCAGAAAAGCACTAAGTAAAAATAGGGTTCATGAAAGTGTAACAAGATGGGTGCTGTTGGTCACTATGAAGAACATTGATGTTCATCTCAGGTTTGCTAAAAAAAACACCTGGATGACTCTCCAAATTTCTGGCAAAATATTCTATGGGCAAATGTCAAAAATAGAACTTTTGGGGTTACACAGATGTATTCATGTCTGGTTGAAACAAACACTCCACTCCAGAAAAAGAACCACATTCCAGATGTCAGGCATGGAGGTAGGGATGCTTTGCTGCTTCCGGGTCTGGATGACTTGCTATCGTTGAAGGAAGCATGCATTTTGCTTTGTTTCAGAAAATTCTACAGAAGAATATCAGGCCCTCTGTCAATCAGGTGAAGTTGAAGCACAGGGGGTTGTGTAACAAGTCAGTGACCCAAACATACAAGCAGATTTACAAAAGAATGGATGAAGGACAAATTAATTGCTTTGGAATGGCCAAGTCAAAGTCCATCCTAAGCCCCACAGACGTATAGTGGCAGAAGCTGACATGAGCAAATCATGCTCAAAAACCCTCAGATACTACTGACTAAGCAGTTCACCACAAAGGAGTGACCCAAAATTCCTAAACATTAATGTGAGAGATAGATCACCAATTGCAAGAGGTGTTTAGTTACAGTTATTGTGGCTAAAAGTGGTACAACCAGTTTTATCTAAGGGGGATTATTTTTTCATGTTGGCCTCTGTAGGACTCACATGAATCCTTAGAATATTCATTGGCAAAAAATATGCAACAATTCAGAAAACCTGAAAGGGAACAAGTACTTTCTCACAGAACTGTACCTGTATTGACCAATTTCAGCAGCCTCTCAAAGGGGTTGCTAGAGTTCAGGCATTCTGCCAGCTCTCTTTGCATCTTCCTGCTACAGCTGAGAACACAATGCTAGAGCATTTCAAGTGGCACCATGCCCAGGCAAAAACAGTAGCCCATCACCTGTGGTGTCTGGGATTCATGCTTGTTACAAGTTCCTCTGGAATTCTTGGCAGAGGGCCACAACTAAATAGTAATGCTTATAAAAGCTAAATAGCAAGAAGCACCACGAGGTGATGAGGTTGGAGAATGCAATATCTCTCATTCTCACTTCGGGGAAATTATGCTAAACAAACTCTTTTTATTTGTATTTTCCTGGGTTAATGCTATATGTAGATCTTCTGCTTTATGCTTCTGTTTTTGAATGCTGGTGGTCACCTAATAATCAGAGGGATATTTTAAATGCCTTGGAAGTAGAGTGTACAGGGAGTACAGTACAGAGATGAGTCCTCCTTTCTTCCATTGTTGATGCCCTGTATGTACCTGCAAAAATACTAGTCTTCCAAATACTGTGTTTTTCAGTTAAGGAAGAGACCCAGACCAGCCTTCTGTAATATGGCACCTTCTAGTATGTGACTCCTTGGAATGTTGGGAGTTCTCTTTTACACATCAGAAGGATGCAGGATTGCAGAAAATTGTTCTGTACCTTTACATGGAAAGCAAAGGAGACACCACTGAATCTAACTGTAGGCAAAAGACCAGCACTTTTCAAGTCCATTTCTTGCTGCTTTGCCCCTCCTATCTTCCTGGGTCTCCTTTCCCAATGTGCCTTTACCTCTGTGGTGCTAATTTAATTTAACTTGCTTTTGGGAAGAATAGTTTAATTATCTACTATTTTGAGAGCAGCCTTTTCACTGGGGATTTATGGGAAGTGAAATCTAAGACATCTGGAAGGCACCAGACTGGGGAAAACTGTTCTAGATTATCGTATGTATACATTAAGAAAGTTAGTCACCATCCTCTCTGTACTGTCTTTATCTGTGCGGTGATGATTGGACAGAACCATTTGGGCTATCAAGATCAATATGTAAGTCAAGGTCATTGTGAACATTTATTCTACTGTACAAGTGATTTGAAGCTATCTGCCTGCTGGTTCCCATAGGCCTGTTTATTGTCTTTTGGCAGGTCTCAGGCACAACTACACAGATGAAAATAGTTCTGGAGCAGCACTTGGCCCGCCTGAATGAGATCTTTGCAACCCACAGTGAATATGTGCAAACACTCAAATTCATGCAGCAGATGGCAGACAATATTGTGCTGCAACTGTCAGGGCTCCCTGTCTGGGGTGACGTCACTGTAGACTTGTCCATGATTGCCAGTGAAGTCAGCTATGTAGAATATTACAGGTAAGCGAGCATGGTCATTGTAGCAAAGAAATACATTGCCAGTCAGGAGCCATTGAACAGTTGGTGTATTTCAGCCTTCTCCAAGCTGGATGCCCTCCTCATGTTCCCAACTCAGCATGACTGTTCACTGAGAAATGCAGAAAATGAAGTCAATGTATCTGAGAGGCTCTCGGCTGGGGAAAGATTGAGGTCTCCTGTTGGAAGCTGTTTGAGCTGATCAAGAGTGTTTTGAAAGTTCAAAGGGATTTTTCCTCCAGGCCTTTGAAGCTACTAGAAAGAACTGTAGCTCCACAGTTCACTTGCTGGCTTTTCCAGGTATGGCTGGGAAAAGATCCTGCTCTGAAATCCTGGAGAAGTATTGCCAGTCAGTATAGATGATATACAGTATTGGTATGGATATGTACCAATGGTCTGACTCCTTAAAAGAGCACTTTCTGGGTTTCATTACATCATTACAGAGATAGGAATTCTTTCATTCATTTCTCTCTTCCCTCCCTTCTTCCCTTATGATGGAATGGGTCTTAGCTGAACATCTTTCTGACTTACAGCAAGGTCCTGCAGGGCAGTGATTGGAAAGGTAGGAGGAAGAGCATCATTCTGGGAAAGTGACTGTGTCTTGCTTTAATTTTGTCTTTCTGTGTGAGCCAACATGAGGCTGCTTTTTTCAGATCAAACTATGTATATCAGAAAGTGGTTAAAATGCTAACATTTCCACTATATCATTGCATCCTAGTGGTAAAGTAAAGATTTAAATCTGTATTGTGCTTATGATTACAACTCAGGAGAGGTCATGCTTTGTCAAGAAAAGTTGTATGGGGATGCAAACTTCAGAATTACTTTCTCCATTCTGATCAACATGTTTTGGCTGAATACTTCTTATAAATGGGAGCAGAAGTCTGACTGAATTAATGCCCACATCTTAGGTTGAGTTTTAAGGATATAAATGTGGGCAGGGTAAAGCGGGTTAGGGTTAGGGTTATCATCACGGTCTGGAAATAAACATTGTTCTGCAGCAAACAAGTATGCACTTGCTTTATTCTGCAGGCAGTTTCTCAAATTCATCCCCATTTGGGGGTTTCTAATTTCTAGACTAAACTAGGTTATTTTAAACTAGCTGTACTTGCTATTTAAATTATTATTCAGAGGGCAAAATGAGGCCAGAACTGCCCTCCATGCTGAAAGGTGTGTTCCCCCCCCCCCCCATTCTTTCTGTGTTCTCTTGGGCTGGTGAAGATGCACCCAAAGTTGCAGCTTGCCTGTGACCAACTCTTGGCCACACATAGAAGAATTTTAACTGGATCCCATTTTGCTTCAGGCAGTAATTAAAACAGAAGAACAATGTACAGATCTCGCCTTTCCTCTTGTCTGTAATATTAATGAGGCAGAAAGCCACTGGCTGTGAATAAAGCCTGAGCAGAGTGGTATCTGTAGGATTGGAACAATTAAAAGCCCCTCCTTTGGCAAAAATGCAGAAAGAGAACTCTGGTTCATGTGCCCCAGAGGGAGTGGACTGCATGGATTATGTGGACAGATGCACGCATGTGCAAGCACAAAACACGCGGAGCATTGTGCAAACTGCATTGTATCACAGGTGGGAGTATCCCTCCAGAGCAGGAGGCACTTTGACATTAGGAAGCCAGATAAACCATTAAATATACAGAACTACATATGTTCTGCATTTTTTAGAAAAGAAGTTCACAACCAATGTAAGTGGTTCAAGTTACATGAATTACCCACACCTGACTTCACCATGCATTTCCGACACATCTACAACTCATATGTTCAGAAACAGGGATTCTCAAAGTCACTTTCTTCTCTAGCACACTTAGGAACTGGAATATAATGGAGTACTAATTTGAAATAGTTTACTCTATTGTCTTGTAAGAGCTGTGTTTTCATGGAAACATCTGAATGGACACCAAATGGAGAAAAAAAACATGTTGGACTAGACCCTCAGGCTGTTTGGGTAGAGCCTCTATTATGCAGGAGGCCAAAAAAAAGGAAATCACTTGTCCCACTCTAGGTGGGACTGCAGGCAAGCTGCATTAGGCCATCTCTTGGAATACCTTAAGAATATATGAAAGTATTCTTTATGAGAAATACATAGAAATGCATTCACCCCCATATCCTCTTGCCCTGCTATTTATTCTATGCCTATCTCCTTCAACCTGTGCCCCAAAATTAGTTATCCAGCTACCCATAATGCTTTCTCCTGCCAAGTATTTGTCAGTGGTGGTTTTGAAAGAAAAGTAATTCTCTGTGTGCTAGCTTCAGAGTAAGTAGAGCTTGTTCCCAGGGAAGTATGATTGCACTGCAGCCTCAGCTTCTCAAATCTGAATAAAAACCTGCTTGATTCTGCTAGCCGGAAATGCCTCCATTTGCATTTGAATGTCCCTTGGATAATATCTCCCCTTCAGTTTCAGCAGTCTGTCTTCAAGTCTCTACAGGAGTAGCTGCCCTTCTCCAACATGGATAATTTGTGGAAATGCCATATTGTTGTTCCATGGTTCTGAGGAGGTGTGGTCCCCAGGCCTAAAACAGTGGCCTTGCTGAAATTTCACCATTCCTCCTTCTGTCAGGTTTCTGCAGGGATTTATGAGTTACCCAAGCATTCTCTCTCTTTTTCTCCAGATGGCTCTCTTACCTCTTGCTGTTCATTCTAGACTTGGTGATCTGCCTTATTGCCTGCCTGGGGCTTGCTAAACACTCCAGATGTCTGCTTATTACGTGAGTACACAAGGTCATTCCACAAGAGAGGCAGGAAGAAAAGGTACCTTTCACAGCCGTGCACAAGATGCTCAAGCCTTTAATGCTGTCAGATGATCTTGGAGAGTAAGAGAGAGTACTCCCTGAAGAAAAAACATCTAGCAAAGGTCTCTGCTTGTGGGATTTAGGGAGGGTTCTTAGAATTGGTATGCTCATGTGGAAGGGATCAAACAGTTCCATGCTTCCTGCATTGCATTCCATTGTACCTGTCCCAACCCTACCTTACTACGTCTTGTGGATGAAAACACCAATCAGGAATTTCCCATCTGAATTTTAAAAACTGTTTTCAGAATGCACCAAAGCTGTGACATAAGGGGTGTAAGACTAGCTTTCTCTTTTTCTCCTCTGAGTAATCTTTACTCCTTTGCATTAGCATGACTGCACCAGAACAAGCTAATATGACAGAATAAATAGGCAGAATAAAGGATGATGGTTTTCAGTGGGGGTTGATAGTCTTGCCATAGATTTCCGTAGCTTGCCATAGCCTTTTTTTATGGCACAGGCATTCTAGCATATATCCAGCCCAAGTCTGCAAAAACTAATGCACCAACTTGTGTTTGAAATGTCATGTTACCTCTCACTCCCTCCATATGCAATTTGCTGGTTTCAGTCAGCACACGTATTTACTATGAATGTAGTTCCCAGAATTAGAGGAAACTGTAAGTTAGAGGAAACTGTTTCCTTGGATACCTGTTCTAGCACTGATTTTAAACATATCTTTTCCAGTGCAGACGTGTGTGTGTGGGGGGGGGGATAGATTTTAGTAAGCCTGGAAGCTGTGGTCTGGGTCAGAACTTATCCAGGACAATCATGCATCCTTCTCAGTTTGTGCAGACAGATTAATTGGGACTGGACCCCAGGTGGTTAAATTCAGTTCCCAACTGCACTATTTGATTTATAGGAAATATGCCCCCATGCATCTGGCTGTGCTCTGCATCTCTGTAATAGTTATAATCAAGACTTATCTTAGAAAATGGTTATGGGGCAAAAACAATACCAATGTAAGCCTCATCTTATTAAGTGGTGGTGGTCAGACTGCTGGTTCACAGACTTGCTGTCACCTTTGTGAATCCCCCTTTTGATGCTCTGGTATTTACTTTTTGCCCGCAGGATGCTGTGCTGTGGGCTTTTCACACTTTGTCTCAGCTGGGCTTCCTTTGCAGCAGATGTTTCAGCAGCAGTGGTAAGCCCAATGTTTGAACTCTAGCTGCCAGCTTCCTGCCTCCTTTATATCACACTGTGGTTGTTGTAAGGGCTTGATGCACTATGCTTACCGCAATGCCTTGGGCCCCAGTCTTGCTGACCACCAGAGACTGCCCAGCTGAGCTTTCCAACCTTCTGACAGCTAAAGGCCTGCTGACTTGGAAAGGCATGTTTTGCTCTTCCTTGCCTTGCTTCCTACAGCATTTCCTTCCTTTGTCTTTCCAGAATCATACCTCCTCATAGCACGATACACACTTATAAGGAGCATGTTCTGAAATTTTGAGCAACAAGGAGATTGGTTATTAAAAGTGAGCAGAATTGATCTTGAAGGTCTTTTGCTTGGTTGCCTGACTGCTTTGCATCAGGCAGAGGAAAATTAACTTGCCATAAACCTTCAGCACTCCCAGTCTCATGAGTGGACCAGATCTTTTTAAAATGTTCTAATTGTATGTTGGTGGGACTTCTGCAGTAAGATTTCAACAGGAGCCAGGGGAGAGATTAAGCAATTTCCTGTCTGCTATTTACAAACTTGGTTGTTCTATTTTTTCAACAGATGGGAGTATCAGAAAGTATCAAAAGTTCCATCTAAGCATGAGATATTTAACAGATATTACAGCCTCCTTATTGCTCTGGTTCTTTGTTATCCCAGATGTCTACTTTTATGAACATCTCTTCCTGATATTTTGTGCATTGTTTTCATATTGATATAAATAGTGTACATATTCAAGAATAACATTTTAAACAAATGCATTTTCATAGGAAGCCCTTAAGATCTTACATTCATATGCACGTTCTACCTGTGCAGGCTATACATTCACTTGACAATGCTGGGATATGTAGAAACAATTTCTTAAGCCTCCAGTGTGTAACCTCCTTAAGTACAACTTCTAGTAATTATAACAGCTTCCTTTTTAAAATTTTGCTTCTCATAGGGTACCAGTGACTTTTGTGTGTCCCCAGATAAGTTCATTGTGAATATGACGAAAAGTGACTTCAGTGCAGGTAAAAATACCACTTTTGCAATAATTTGAGTAGTGGAGGACAAACTCTTCCTTAAGTGAAAGTTGACTGAAGAGAAATAAAACCGATGTAGACTTTAGGCCCAGCCCGCGTAGAAAGTCACCAGTATTCAAAATCCAGAAAGGAAGGTAACAGACTTGAATTGAGGGATAATATGAATGTTTATGTGGAAAGTGCTCAGAGCCCTGATAGTGCTTTTCCAACCCATTGTGTGGCTATGTATGGAAGGGTTAAAAGTACAAAGAGCACGCAAGGAGATCCTAGAGAAGCCTCTTCTTTGCTGGGCCACTCTAAAACTTCACTTCTGATTTGGTAGCGTGGAGAGCTAGAATCAAAAAGTTAAAAGGGACCTTGGAGGTCTCCTGGTCTAACCTTAACACTCCGTTAACTGGCATCTTATGACAACACTGACCAAGTGGAGTTAGTTTACCCTACAAAAGTCCCATGGCTGTTTGAGGTAAAAACTACCACACTGCTTCTACTGCTGACTGCGTTAAGTTATCCTTGCAAGATGCTGTCCTCCCCAAAGCAGTTTAACATATCCTGTGAACAGAGGCAGTGAGACAATATTCCTGGCTGTAGAATCTGTGCCAAAATCTCCCCTTTGTTAATATTACAGGTAAGTTCTGAGATTTTTCTCACAAGCTAGGGACTCAGATTTCATTTGATTTCCTTTTATTAAGGTAGAACCACAGCTTAGGAGGGGACACTTGTTTGGAAGAATCAGCAAGAGAGGAGAGGTTAAGTAGGCTTAATAGGGATAGGAGATTAGGTGAAGTGACCATTTGCTAATTATGTTTGGCAGTTGCTGTGTTTTATGTACTAAGGCAGAATTTAGATTAGGAGGGGACATTTGTTTGGAAGAATCAGCAAGAGATGAAAGGTTAAGTAGGGATAGAGATTTGGTGAACCAATCACTTGTTAATTATCCTTGGCAGTTGCTATGTCTTTTTCATACTAACAGACAGGCAGGTATTTATGAGACATGTTTATAAGATGTAGCTTTAATGAAAGCTGAAATTTCTGCAAAGTCATAATTTCATGGCAGACTGTGGTTTTATGTGGCATATGGAAATAGGTATACTCCAATCTTGTTTCTCATTCTGCTCATGTCAAAAGTCTGGCAAAACCTTTAGATAATACAGTTTTTCTGTAGCATTTTTTCTTTCAACATACATTAGACAATACATTGTAAACTGAGACACTCTATACAGTGCTGTCCCATTTGGTGCTGTGTGCTAAGCAGTGCTGTCCCAGTGTGGATTAGAAGTTGGTAAAAGTGTCACACTTTAACCGATGATTCTCTTCCTCTTGCACTTTGCTTTGTAGAAATCGCACAATATTATCTGTATTGTAGACAAAATCTGGCCAACCCCTTTCAACAGGTAAGAACTTGCTTGCATTTATATACCATTGGTAAAGGATCTCCCAACAGTACTGAAAAGAGGAAGCTGTATCTTTATTCCAGGAATGAGCTTGCTTTCAGTGATAGGGCAGGGAAAATTGGTGAGCATTACCCTCCACAGAAATCTGTCCAGATAAGGAAATATCCTTATCTGAACTTGTTAGTTACATTGGAAGATCCAGCCCTGATGTCTCCTTACTGAATCTACAGCTGTGGCTTCTGTAATCTCAGTAAGCCCTGGCAAGTTAGACCTCTGTGTAGAAGGTATTATAAAATGTTTGTAGAGAACCATTTGGCTTATTAGATTTCCAAGGAGAGAACGTTTTCTGATATTTTGAGTGTTGATGTAAAAGAGGGTAGATGGATTCCTAGGTGTTGAAAGGGGCTAGTATTTAACTGTTTGCTGCAAGATAGGGAGGCGTTTACGGCCCTGTGAAAAAGTTTGGCTCATACTTTGCATGGTGTGTTCTTTATTTGTAGGCCCTGACTATTTACCAGCGTTCTCTCACAACTTTGCAGATCCAGATTCAGGGCCTTGTGCAGTTTGCAGTGCCTTTTTTCCCTACAGCCAAAGTAAGTGCCAAAGCACCGTCTTTTCCTATGGAACCAGCAAGGTTCTTTGATGGAAGCTTCTGGGTTATATACATTTATAAGTGGGTCACACCTGCTGTTTTCAGAAATGGTATTCGGCAAAGACAAAATACGAAAATACGGACATGTGTATAACAAGGGGAATACTGAATATTCTTATGAGCTGCCTGAAGATAAAGCAAGCAGCAGAAAAACATGGGGTATAGTTGACAGGACACAGATGCCATGACCATACAGCAGCAGAGGAACAAGTCTAGGACCCCTGTAATCATAGACTTCTCTACCTTGGTGTCTCCAGGTGGTAATTCTATGTGCTGTAGTCCCAACATATCTAGAGGGTATAAAGTTATAGAGCAACTGGAAGCCATTTTAACAGAAGGGGTGAAATTTTATATGAACAGGAGTCAGCTGTTTAGGATATACAATTAATTAAATATACAGTTAGGAGCTACATTTGTATATTTCAGATGTAGCTGAAATTTCAAAGCCACATTGAGCTAGATAATGAGCCAATTACTTAGCAAACCGTGGTTTTTGACAAGAAATGTCTTATTCAGCATTCTGTATAACATGGGTGGGCAACCTGCAGTCTCCAGTAGCTAAGGTTTATGATACTTGGAATCCAACAACATCTGTAGGGCCATATTTTGTTTACCCCCCTCAAATAAAGGCTTGAGAAGATAACTGGCTCTGTCCCCATAGACCCCACAGTCATCTGAGAAAGATGTCCTAGTGCATTGTGAGAGACTGTGGGAAGAAAGCAGGGGATGAGGCCATTGGTTTAGCTGAGAAGAGGCTAGATGTGAAAGATGTGGGAAGAAAGTGTTTCAAAGAGACTCTACCTTGATTAATTTACTATAACTGTGGCTGACAGCTTTCAACAATTAGGTTTTATCTCAGACTAGCATTAAAACCAGGTTCCTGAAAACCAGGTTGTTCTTGCTTCCTCAGTTTTGCCAGCTCCGTGGGCCTTGACATGCATGCACCTGAGCTTCCATATGGAAGTCTAATAACAGTGTCCAAAATCAAGCCATGCCTCCATGCATAAGTGAGATGACTTTCTGTAGATGTCTCTTGCCCACAAGTGAACAATAAAGTAGTTCTGTTCTCCTTTATTTTAATTTTTAATCAAATGAGAGAGAATCCCTGGTAATTACAAATAGCAGTACCAAGGAAGGAGCCCTTATCTCCTTCATAAGGTTTTGTAAAGCCACTATAACTCTGATCTTGTCCCTGTTTCTTTAAAACCAGTGTTGGTTAATAGTTAAATTAAGGCTGGAAGGACAACGGTTTGGATTTGCAGTCAGCCATAAAACTCACTGGGCCATTCACCATCTCTCAGCCCAATTTGACATCACAAGATAAAATCAGAGAGGAGGTACTATGTATGTCTTCTGGACAGGAAAGATAGGCTACAATTGCAATAGAATATGTAGCTGTTCACAGTGATTGCTGGGCGGTCGTTCTAGGTACGGTGAACACTGTTCCTTTTCCAATAGAAAATATGCCCCTTCTCTGATGGCTTTTGCCCTTGCTGCAGAAAGACCTGCTTGATGTACAGAAGTTACTGAACTACTCTGAAATCAATCTCCACCAGCTGACCGCCATGTTGGACTGCAGGGGCCTTCACAAGGTAAGCGGCATAAGGCACACTGCGCTTTGGGGGCAAGGGTCGAAGGTGGTTAGTAGCACAGGAGCAAGACACTTCCTTTCTTCTTTTTTCCCCCTCCCTTCACTAAAGGATTACCTGGATGCCTTGATTGGGATCTGCTATGATGGGGTGGAAGGCTTGCTCTACCTCACCCTCTTCTCTCTGTTGGCTGCTGTATCCTTCTCCACCATCATATGTGCCATGCCTCGAGCCTGGAAGCATTTAGCTAGCAGGTAAAATGGAATAAGTCTCCCAGGGATACAACAACAAAGTCAAAATAACCTTGCTGATTATGGATGATTGTTTTGAAACAGGGATGAATAAAATAACAATGGGTGGTTTTGCTTCTCTTTTAACAACTGGAGCATCGGTCTGCTTTCTCATTCAAGAAAACTGCAGAGTTGTGAGCTGATCTTCCTATCGTCATGTCTCCATTAAGAGCTATGCATGTTGAAGAACCTACAGAAGCATTCCAGGGACTACACCGTGGGAAAGATTGACTAAATAGCATGACATGAGGTTATTTAGTAATATCTTGGCCACTTGAATGCCGCTGAACAAAATACATGCATCAATTGTTCAGCAACAACCTCACGTGTCTTTCTGGGTCTCTCATATTCACCCCTAATTCGCTGAGGGAGGGTGGAAAGAGCAGTAAGAGGAGGAGGGAAATAGACAGATTCATGTATGAGAAAGACGCAACCAAAGAAGGCTCTCCCCGTTATCTAGCATTACGTAGAGACCACTCTGTAGCATTCCTGATGGTTGAAACATCAATTTTTGGATGACTTCTGTAAGCTGCAAGCTTCATTTTTCTTCCATTATCTAAAGGTGGTGAAGGAAGCACAATCAGTTCTTTCTGCTTCTTTTTCTGCCTCCTGGTTAATACATGAATTGTCCCTCAGGGTTGGGTTTTCTGCAGTGGAACAAATTCCAAAAAGCTCTCTTCTTTTCAGGTACTATGGTGTCTTTCCTGGTCTCTGTAACATTACAAGAGAAATCCTAAAATTAAGGGATACCTTAAACAACTGAAATTCCCAATCCCTCCAGGAATGAGTGTTGCATCTTCTCATTTGCCACTCCACCCATAACCATTCCCTACTCTCAGATTTTACTTTCTTTTCTCAGATGGATGTTTTTTTTTCCCCCCTTCCAGGGATCGGGATTATGACGACATAGATGAAGAAGACCCCTTCAACCCACAGGCCCGACGTATTGCTGCCCACAATCCCACCCGTGGGCAACTCCATAGTTTCTGTAGCTACAGTAGCAGCCTGGGCAGTCAGACAAGCCTTCAGCCTCCTGCCCAGACCATCTCCAATGCACCGGTGTCTGAGTACATGTGAGTATGCATGGAGTTAGTAGAAGAAGTCTGAGTTAGCAGTAATCAGTACTTAAGCCTACATCCTCTCCTGTGAGGTTTTCAAGGTGGCAACAGAGATAGCCTCTGCTATTTGGGTGTTCTCCACCTTAACTTACTGTATTCTGGTACCATCCGCCCCTGTTCAGATTCATGCTGCCTTTTGTCTTTGCGTCCATCATTCCATTCCTTCTTGAAAACCATTATGTCTCTCCATTTTACTATCTCAATAGCTGTCAACCCATGTCCTCCATAGACCTGATGTCCCAGGTAGATGTTCCAGCCACCTAACCCATAACCCAGCTTTGTATAGCTGATAGATCTTCAAACTCTAGGAATTGCCTTCTCATTGAAAGAAGACAGCCTTATAGATGAGAAACTTGAGAAACCTTATTTATGAGCTGTGTGTTGGAGGAAACATTTTTAAAAATAAAGCCCTTAGATGCAGTTCTTAAAATACTCATCCGTATAGAAAATGTGTGAAACAAGCTGTTGTCATGACAGACAAAAAGCAGTACCACAATGACAGGCGGGAAATTACAAACTGTTATGTCATCATTTATAAAACTCTGTGATTTTAAGGCCATGACAGGTTTTAAAAAATCTGAGCTGTGGTCCGCAGATAAGTTGAACCCAATTTTTTGGGTGTATTTTGGAACCTACTATTATTTGTTAATTATTATGTTACAATCTTTTAATTTAACATGGGATTTTTTGTTTTCCTTGTTCAATTGCCATGTACATTTGCATGTCCTTTTACGAAAAGATCTTTGTCAGTTTCAATATATTTATCGGTTGGTTGTTTGGAAAATGTGCTGCCTTTTGATGGAGGAAGTCTTGCCCGCTTATCGTATATAATTGCAGATAAGCTCACCCTCAAAATTTCAACCAAAATGCCATGAAAAATGTGTCATCTGCGATAAGCTGACCCTCAGTTTTTCACCACAATGACAGGTGGGAAATTACAAACTGTTATGTCATCATTTATAAAACTGTGTGATTTTAAGGCCATGACAGGTTTTAAAAAATCTGAGCTGTGGTCCGCAGATAAGTTGAACCCAATTTTTGGGGTGTATTTTGGAACCTAAAATTCTCGGCTTATCCGCAAGTATATATGGTACTTCCTCTTCGCTCCTACCTATGACTTGGCTTGGATTGGAAGGAAATTATTAATGGATACCAATAAAAAGAAAGAAATGAGGGGAATGTTTGATGTTAAAAAAGTTAAGCATTGTTGGAACTGATTGGGACTTGGATGGGAGATCAGTAAGAAATCCCAGGGCTGTAGGCTAGGCTGGAAATTAAATCTTGAAGACAGTGGCAACCATTTCCATATTGTGGTCAAGGAAAGTTCATGGACGTGTGCATAAATTCATTAGGAATTTATTTTGACTCAAGTGAGTCTTTACCTTTCATCGATGCATGAGAAGATATGCATGGCTAGTGCCAACTTTTGTGTGAACATCTAGTAACTTCTAGCTCCAACACAGCCCATAGAAATCAGCAGCCACCAGAAAAGAGCATGGTGGGGAAGCTCTGGAGGTGGTATCATATCCCATCTGTAACTATGCAGATGTGTCCTGTGTACAACTTAATACTACTTTGGGTTTCAGGCAGCTGTTGAACCTATATCATCAGCATGCTCATGAGTTGTCAGTCTTTCCTTCAGAGAGATGGTGCTAACATTGAATTGCCTATTGAGTTAGAGCAAGGCTTAACAATGGAGGAAGTCCATCCAGAATGGAGGGAAGGAGATTTCCCATTTCAGTCTTCATAACTAGTAGAAACTGCCTGGTCTCTCCCTTCAACTTTCTGAATTGGTTGCTGCAAAGTCTTAGAAACGAAAAGTGCTTCTGCTAAAGAGCAACCAAACAAGTCTCATCTTCTCTGCCCAGTCACAGAGCTGAGGAGGGGGGCGTTGGGCAGCTGCTGTGACATTTGCTGCCCACCTTTATGATTCCAATTTAGGGAGCAAGACTGAGAGGGTGCGAGATTTCTTTCCTGCATGATTTTTTTCCAGATGTAACCTCAGAAGCATACCTTAGTGTGCCCATTCCAGATCTGGGTTAAAATGGAAGCTGATTCAAAACTACTCTTTCAGTTATATTACAGTAAATCCTCATAGGGAACAGTGATACCTAAGACTACCTGAACAAGTGCAAAGAGTTTCCACAAGCATATAAATTCTGTCATGTGGAGAATCTTTGCAGAAAAGTTGATTCCCCGCTGGAAATTCAGTCCCATGAATGCCCTGCACTATATTCACAACCACCTCTGATTGAATTGTTGCAGTGCTGTCCACTGAGTTGCCAGCCTTTCACCTAGTTGCTTTTGTTTCATGTCCAAAAAAGTCCCTGCTGTGTGGGGATAATGGGAATGGTAGGCCCACACATCTGAAGGATACCAGTTTAGGGAAGGCTGCATTCAACTTTGACATGATAAGCAAGCAGCCATCACCCCATTCTCCCTGCCCCCTTCTCCTTTGGAGAGTATTGTAAAATAAAGTTGGAGCATTGCTAGGCCTGAGATGGGCAGAATGTTAACTACCGTTCATTTTGTCTGTCCCTGGGTGACTTTCAGTGGATGTCCTTCCTCTCACACCCATTGCACCTAAAAGAAAGAGAGGGACACATGTTCTTTGCTCTTATTCTCAAGTGTCAGTTGTTTTTCACAGCAGTGCTCACTGAATGTAGAGGAGTTTGTTCCAGAGTGAATCCCTTCCCCACAGTGAGTTTCATGGACTGAGGAGACAGCTAATGAGAGTTAGGGTAGCTTCCCCCAATCTGGTGCTCTTCAGGTGCATTGGAAATAAAATTTATATTTTCCTCAGCCAGCTGGGTCTTTGAGTATTTAACTGGAGATGATGGGCGTTCTCATCTAATGCATCTGGAAAGTACCAGGGCAAAAAAAGGTTGTTATCAAGGAATTTATGAGTGCTTGCTGATCCCCTCTCTTGACTATCTTAATGGTGCTGCAAGAAGCAAAATTAATAATGGCCTGCATATCCACTCTCTCACCTTCCCCCACTCACCCAGCCTTTGCCCCCCAACAAGGATCACCCACTTCTGCAAGAATATCAGGAATATTTCTTAGCCCAGAGCTTCATAATGGAATTCCTTTTAATAGATTGTCCTCCTGATCTCACTCCTCTCTACCTGCAGGAACCAAGCTGTGCTCTTTGGTGGGAATCCACGGTATGAAAACGTCCCCCTGATTGGAAGAGGATCACCTCCCCCCACGGTACGGTGGGCTTCGGAGGCTAAATCATTTTTATAACAAACCCCTTTATTTCCCCTGCTTTTACTAACACACATGCTGATTTAACAAACACATTTTGTTAAAAACTGGGATGAGAAACCCTCTGGCTTTTGTCAGAAGATATAAAGTAGTGGTTTGTGGGGGGGCGGTTCTGATGTTAGAGATGAGGAAATGAGCAGTATATGATTTAAATGCAGGCCTTTCATGGAATGACAATCAGGAATCTAGGATTGCTGTCTGAATGAAGAATTTTTTTCTGGAAGTTTTTTCTGCCAGTTTTCTGGAAGCTGGCATTTTTTGATCCCACAATCGTTTTAGCTATATCATTTATAGGCAACGTAGAATATAACTCCCATTGAGGCTGCATCCTTCTGGCTAACTTCAGGCAGCTATATAGCAAAAGAGTAGGAAACATTGTATTGCATTGCTATTTGGCTGCTAGTCACTCTGACAAACTGCTGTGCAAGGCTGTCCTGCAGTTCTTACCACGACAACAGACTTTGGCTGTTGTTTCTATGGCTTGCATGATTGTGTGTCTATCCATGTTTCACAGTACATGTTACACAGTTTATATATTTCATTTGTTTCCCCTGTGCATCTTTAACATTTTGTTTAATTGTTTCTGGAGGCAAGAGTTGCAAGTTTCTGATCATCTAGAAAATGAGTATGTACTTTTGATTTTTTCCCCACCTCCTTCTATTCTTATAAAATGTTTTTCTTCAAACATATTTGAGTTGTAATATATACCACTCTCTTCTTCATCTGATGTAATGTTGTTTTGAAATCTTGCTTGCAATGCTTGCTTTGGTTTTGCATCAGTTGTTTTGGAGCTATATTGCTTTTTTAAGGTGCTTGCATTTTTAAGATATATTTGGAGGGGTGGTTTCTTTCCTCCCTCCTGATACCTTTTCATAACTTATTTCCCTGTGCCATGCTTCCCAGTATATATGGAATCTGGACATTTAAAGATGCCGTTAGTTTACAGGTGCACTTAGGCTTACTACAGCCTTCCCCAGATTGGTTCCTTTCTTGATGTGTTTGGACTGCAACTTGCAGAAGTCCCAGGATTTGGCCCTGCTGGCTGAAAATTCAAAGAGCTGCAGTCTCTGCACATCTGGAGAATGCCACATGTTGTAGAAGTTTAGCGGAATGGATTACGTGGACTGAAAATGGAGACCTTTCCTTGGGCTCTGCAGGGGAGAATTGTGGAAAAAGCAATGTTTTTTTCCCTCCAGAATTTCAGATTATTTAGTTTTCCCCCATGACAATGCATGCTGCATATGTTTTGGGCGTGGTGTTTTAGATGGGCAAAATGAAAAACCCTCTGAGTAGTGCTGATGTTCCAGTTGCCTTCATGCTGAGAACCCATGCTGTGAATAAAATTTTTTAAAGTTTATTCTAGATTTCCAGTCATGCTGTTATAAATAGTCAATAAGTAGAAGCTCTTGAATTTGATGCAGTGAATCTTCCAAATGGTCGTTTATTGCTATGGTTTACTCAGCTGGAGATTTCCTTCAGAAAAGTTCCCACAGGACAGCCATATTTCAGTAAAACACCAAACTAGCAGGGGCCTTTAAAGCTGAACAGATTTAACATGGTGTACAACTTTGGAAGTTACAACATATAGTACCTCATCAGTTACAAGAAGTGTTATCCCCAAATCTGTATAGAGAAGAGGAATGGGGGAATGTTACAAAGTCAGAGTCAGAGCACAAGAGAAAATTGCTGCCTTTCTGTAGTTATGTGAAAGAGGTCCAGGTTGAGTGAGTTTGATCTGCTCCCATCTGTTAAAATATTATGAAAAAATCATGGTAAAGCTCCAGCATGAAGCTCCTAAGTGAGAATTTATTTACTAGTGTATGCACAGACTTAGGCTTAGTGAGGATTGGAAGGGGAAATACTATAGAACTCTGTCTCTAGGTACTTACATACATTATGCATCAGGCTTATGATTATACAAATTGCTATTTTTTACCATTTGGATTGCATTACTTTTGCACTCAGTACTTGACCTATTTCTTGCTTGGTTGAAACCTCACTTCACTTGATCACAATTCCCTCGCAAGCTTCTAGTTGCCAACTGAAGATAATATTTAATGCATACCATGAACCTGGTTCTAATTCAGAAGAACTCATGTTACAGTACATCTACCAGTCTTTATGGAATTGAAACTCCTTCCTTCCTTCCTTCCTTCCTTCCTTCCTTCCTTCCTTCCTTCCTTCCTTCCTTCCTTCCTTCCTTCCTTCCTTCCTTCCTTTTCTCTGTACAAACATTACTTACTTTTCCATTGGGTTAAAGTGTTTCACTTAGAACAGGAAGTTCAAAAGAACAAAGATTAAGAAGTAGTGTTTACAAGCAAGATTTTAAAAAGGACCAAAAGCACTGAACAGCTGGTTTCCTACTTAGTTTCTTGGGGGAAAAAAAAAAGGTTCCAGTCAGATCTGGGCTGATGAAGGAAATACTCAGCCCTGCCATAAATGAATAATTATATCAATGAGCCCTGAATTTGAATTAAAAGAACAAGAAACTTATTGGGAAAATTATTCAGTAACTTAAGCTATAATGAATAAAATATGTCCCTAGCCTTTGATAAGTAGTAAACTAGAGCAGCTGTACATGTGACTTTAATATGGAAGAAATGGAAAACTCAGATGCCTCCCCACTTCCTATATCCCTATTTGAAATCATCATTTGCCATAATTCGATGTATTATTATTATTTCTTCTTATTTATTTAATTGATAGGCCAGCTGAGTAGTATCAAAAGACTTTGGGTGGCTTACAACTAAGAACTAATATATCTATAGAAGCATATAAAAGATACAACTGGCTGGAAGAACAAAGTATTCAAAACAAAATAAAACAAGTAAAAGCACAAAATTACCCTGTCCCCAACCAGAACAACTAGATCTTAATAGTTTCCTGAATGACATAAGGGTGGGAGCCACATGAATGTCTGGGGGGAGATCATTCCAAAGGGCAGGAATTGCAGCAGAGTAGTCATGCTTCCTGGGCCCTGCAAGACATTCTTTTAGTTGAATTCCTTACGGGGGGAAGTGTTGGCTTTGCGTGATGTATGAATCCATCCCAATGGGAAAAGCATGGAGTATAGATCACAACAGAGAGTTCATACTAAGCCACAAACCACATTATGACAACTCCATGTGTGAATCAGGCATTTGTTATATATCTGCGGAGACCACCAAAGTGGTATACTAAACCAAAGCCAGACCAGGATCTCATAAGTATTAAAAATAAGACTTTAAAGTTAATGAAACCACAAATGGGGGAATTCTGAGAGTTGAACTCCACCCATCTTAAAGTTGCTGAAGTTGAGGAACCCTGCCCTAGATAGACAAGTCCTAAGTCATTTGCCATCATTCTGTACAGATGAACTTTGCATGTCTCATAAAGCAGAGAAGTGGATACATTTTAGTTCAGTCACAATGATGTAAACAGAATAACAACTGCCTCTTTCTAATGGCACAGCTGAATTCTTGCCCTCTGCATAGTGATATGACACTGGATTCTCATCAGGTGTGCAAGCAGATTCAGGTTTATGTTGTGATGTTCAGGAGAAATGCAAATTAAATCCATGTTTAAATACAGCCCTGATTTTTTATATGTATAATATTCTGAGAAATGTGTGTTTTTATGGAGTCAAAAGCCCTGTGGTATGAACTATTAAAATTAATATTGAACTGCCTGGAAGATAGAAAGTGTATGCAGGGAGGCTGCCTGCTTGATGATAGATCAGGAAGAATAGTTGAAATTTGTATTACAAGCTGCCACAATCTCATTTTCAAGCCTAAGTAACAATTGTTTGAACATTCATGGAACTATTTCTAATTTGGGCATTTAAATGTTGGGACTGTGCCAGCTTGGGAGCCTTTAATCTTACTGTTGCAGATATTTGCAATTGCAAAAACCTCAAAGCTGATGGCAAAATTAAATGTAGTTCTCTCCATACAGTAAATAGCCTAATTTAAATAGGATTTAAATGCCTTAAGGAAAAGCTTTCAAGCTTTTTTCCGATCCAGAAGAGTAGTCTGTGAATAATTTTCCTTAAAGCTGTGACTGGGAAGACACTACTCTCATAATAAATCCTCGCACTCACGTACCCCAATTTTCCAGGCCTGCACTCTCTAAGCTAGTATCCCCCAGATATCCTGAAGCTACAGCAGTCATTCAGGGGGAGGGGGGGATTTGTACAGATTATAATCCCAACTCATTTGGAGGACACAGGTTGAGAGAAGATGTTTGGTCTCAAACTTCATTATGGGTCACTGGCACAGTTAGGGAAGATGTATGTGCAAAGACACACAGTTATTTCTTAGTGTTGTATTTCCAGTGGTAGCCACTAATTTGTGACCCTATTTGGTTCCTACACCATTAAAGCATGGGGTAAGATTTTCATGCTAATGTCTGTCACTTTTTTGACTGTCTATATTAATATACCCAACTGTTACATCTACCCCTTAGAGGCCTTCTAGATTGAAGTAGTCTGTTATTTTTGTAAATAAATGTAGTGGGTTAATGATTCCATTAGAGCTGACTTTGCAAACTAAAGAAACCCAGGAACTGAAGAACATACCATTTCAGAAGCAATTTCCTGAAGTGGTGACTGCAACGCAGGATAAAGAGGTTTGTCTCTCGTTTGGACTTAGGAACTAGAAGGCATGATGTAGAGAGGAGACTTAACAAATCTCAACAAAATGCAAAAACAAAACAAAACCACCAGGCCATAGTATTGGATTAATAATTTTTACCCCAAGTATTTCCTAAATCTGTAAGAAATATTTGGAAATAAAATTTGTCTGAGTTGGACAGGTAAAAGAAGTGGAAGAAGTTAGGGTTGATACACTGCTTAGACAAGGGCTATTTGCTTCTTATTCTTAACAGTGTCCATAAGTCAGGGAAGAATTGGATATTTTGATTGATTAACTGTATTTACATCCCACTCTGCCTCCAAATTCCTTGAGGCAAATGTCCTCCCCCGACTTCCCATTTTGTTATCGCTGCTTCCTGAGAGAGAGATTAAACTGAGAGACATTACATTGTCTATAATGTAATCAGACTAATCTAGTCCTTGCTGTACAGGCAGTTGAATCCAGATCTTCCCTAATCATCCAGTTCAATCAACCACACTGTTTGCTGGGTGCAGAAACAGAATTATGGCAATCTTACCTGTCCAGTGAATAGGGAACTCATATATGCTTATTTTATCTTTTTAGAGGGGTGTCTGAAAATGAATTTAGAACTAGCTCTACTTTTAATGTGTTTGAACTGAGCACAGATAGTAGACCACTGCTTAGTTTCTGGCAGACTATTCCCACTTCCTGGCTGCTGGTGAAGTTTTCTGAACTACATAGATCTTTGTATTGTCGAAGGCTTTCACGGCCGGCATACGATGGCTGGTGTGGGTCTTCCGGGCTGTGTGGCCATGGTCTTGAAGAACTCAGCTCAACCACCAGGACATGTGAACAGTTCACACAAGGAACTTGCTAATCACCCCCAGCAGCCCCACGT